CACAGGGAGAGACAAGCATAATCTCTCGCTTTCTATCTCACCACTCAAATTGAATCTGCGGTCTTGACAGGCCAAGAGGACAGGGACGACGAATAAAAATCACCTCATTACGCACATACACATCCCTCACACACACATACGCAGACAAACGTAGGCAAGCAGGTCATTCACATGCATTAGGGATGGGAATAGAGAAGCCTTGAATCTTGGTCAAACACCATTTGGTGTGTAAATGCTGACAGACGAGGGTAGCCACATTTGTGTCTGGAGGATCAGACACGGTGTTTGGCAGAGAGGCTGGAATAATGGAGGGACGGACGGAGGCACAATGGTGTGTACATTTGTGCAGGATGAAAATAATGATGATAATGATTAGTCTGATGAAAGAAGGTCACAGTGACAATATAAGCAGTGAAACTGATGATAATGATAGTGTTCTGTCAACCATTATCTCCTTTTGATCATCGATCCTGGCACACTGGGTGGATACAATCATAATAAGATGTGCAAAGCCTCCTGCTGTTAATTTTGTTTTAGGAATCTTTTAGTTTGCGCTCGGCTCTGACAGACAAGGACTGTTTAAAGAATGAAATGTACGCCACTGGATGAATACTGCTGTGTACAAATAGGCAACAGTGTGTTGTCAAAAAAGCTACAGGCCACAGGGAGCATCGCAAACAAACACTGAAGGCTGACACACTGTCGCCCGCTAAGAATCGACAAAGAGCACTTTCACAGGAAGCGGCAATAATAGGGCAATAATTACAGAGCAGGTATCAAACCTGTGAACTGTCTCATGAATATAGGTTTGAATTCAAAATACACAGAAAATTTGCACTACTGGTGGCTAATCCTCGAGACCCTTTACATACAGAAGCTTTGTCATGAGTTTATCATTCTGATCATTATATAATCAACATTTTAAATGAATGATCAGTCTAGCATTAATTTCACTTAAGTATACCATTGATGGCTGTTAATAAACACTGAAGTGACGATTAACAATGTCATTAATAGTGTTTGTTTGTCATTAGTTAGTTAGACATTTCGTGTAGCATGCCGAGGATAAGAGACAAGATTTATGTTTTGGATGTTTTGAGGTTTGACTTTACGTAATGTGTGCGACTCTGATTCCTGGTTATTGCCTCTGCATAAACATTGTTACTTTGTTAACTTTAAACAAAGAAGAATTCCAGCATTATAATATGATCGTCAACCATTATCACTGTCATCCATGAATCCTCTGCCTCTTATCTTTATCAGGGTGACACAGTAAGAGAAGGAATTTAGACCTCGCTAATTACTGGTTACAACCCTGCTTGACTTTAGACAAATCATGTTAAAGCTTCCGATTCAAAACACCATGCTGTAATGCTCAGTAGGGTAAGTTTGAAATATTGTGGTATTTTCACTCTAAGCACAGCTCCAATTTGAGTGTACAATAAACACGTCTAGATTTTTCTGTTACCAGTCCCGTGTCCTTGGGTGGCCGTAACCCTTAAACTTTGACAGCTCACAATTTCTCATAAAGGGAAGAGATAATAGGATTTTTCATCTCTCCTCACACGCCGACACACACAAAATCTCCTCCTGTGTTTGTGTCATGAACATTTTCTCCAAGGAAATAAAGGGTAAATCATGTGATGAATTACCTTTTCACCGCGTTGCATGCCTGTTTATGTATGTGTGTGTTTGTATTTTGTGCATTTGTCTGAAATGTTTGCCGCATGCCACTTTTGGTCTAAACTGTTAAAGCGCTGCTTTGTATTCTGCAGATGTCTTCTCATCCAGCAGTGAAGGTTGGCGTTTAAAAGCAGAGACAGGGAACAGAATGAAAAACCGACAGACACAAAGAGGAAGGGGGAAACTTTTTACCTTTGCAGATGGAGGTCTTTTCCAAACCAGCTGAGCCTTCAGTCTCAGAGCACTTTTCACATCACTAACAAAAAAGGGACAAAAAGTGGGAAAGGGAACAGGAAGAAGAAAATAGAGAGAGGTTAGTTTAGGTTAAAATGAAACAAGTCATTAAGCCCATTTAATGCCTCTAAAACAAGAAAGCTGAGCAGTTAGGATGCATCAGGAAAAACACAGGAGCTGCTTACTATAAGTCTGAATGTGCCATTTTCCTGCAGTTACGGCGTGAGAGTCATCCAAAAATAATAATAATATGAATTAGATTTATATAACACATTTATAGGACATTAAAAAATCTATGTGTGTCAGAGAGGGAAGAGAGATTGACAGCGAAATGGGACACAGTCATGGGAAAAAAGTGAGGAATTGTTGAAATAAGAGCTGTGTGAGAAAACAGAGGGGGATTCCCATTAGAGAGACAAATGAAGGGACGGCTGAGGATGACAGCAACATCTGACAGTTGGCAAGTCAATGATGGACAGAGGGAGGGAGACAGGGAGAAAGAGCCTATATATATTGAGGCTAATATGTGGCTCTGTCTCGCAGAAGAGAGCTAACAACCTCCTCTGGCCTCTCTGGCACATGACTGTTTACTTGTGTCAAGACCCATGTGTATGTGAGTGTGTGTAGAGAAGAAGCTCCCATTATTCAGTTGGTGGATGAAGAGAAAACAAAAAAACAAAACAAAAAGCAAAAGCCTGCCGGCTATGTTACTGTAAAGCGCCCCTATTATTTTGTCA